GGCACGCCGCGCTGCCCGGGCCGGGGGGTGGGTGTGTGGCTCCCCGGAGCCCCCTGCCGTAGGCCCGGAGAGGAGGCGCCGCAGATTGAAAACAGAACCGGCTCTCTCACGCAGCCGCCTCCCTCTCCCTCGGCGGCGAGGGCTCTGTTCCAGGGACACCCGGCATCTCGCACAACACCCGGCTGCTGAAGCTCTTACAGAACAAATCCCCCCCCTTCCTCTCACGTGGTGGAGGGAATCGGAGAGTCCCCGGGCTGGCGGAGACCTCCCAGAGCAGGACCAACCCCGACTCAGTCATCCCAGCCAGGGCTTGGTCAAGCCGGGACTTACACACCTCAAGGGATGGAGATTCCACCCCCTCCCTAGGGAACCCATCCCAGCGCTTCCCACCCTCCTAGGGAAATAGTTTTTCCTAATCTCCAACCTAGACCTCCCCCACTGCAACTTGAGCCCATTGCTCCTCGTTCTGCCATCTGCCCCCACTGAGAACAGCCTCTCTCCATCCTCTTTGGAACCTCCCTTCAGGTAGCTGAAGGCTGCTCTCAAATCCCCCCTCACTCGTCCCTTCTAGAGACTCAGCCAGGCCCAATCCCCCAGCCCCTCCCGGTAGGTCATGCGCTCCTGTCCCCGAATCAGAATCCTTGCTGCTGTCACTGGCAGTGTCCGTTTGAGACCCAGCTCCGGGCACAGCAAGACCAGAGAACGCCCCGGGGACGATGCTCTGGCAAACAAGGATGGACCTCTCTCGGGGGCAGGGAGCGCGGGGGGCGTACATGAGTCCAGGGTATACCGGCCTCCCATCCACCGCCCCCCTCGAATCCGTTCCCTTTACGGAGATCTCCGCTCACGCTCCTCCCATCTCACGCCTGCCTCCCAAAAGGAGTCCGACCTGCGCCATCCGCTCGCTCATTGTGCCGTCTGGCTCGCGGGTCAATTCCAGGTTCGCGCTATTGTTTCTGCTTGCCATGTGCAGCTCCCCGGGCCCCTGGCAGCCCCTTTGCACTCAAGACGGACCAGCTCATTTTGGGGGTGCCCACCGGGACCCAGGGGACCCAGGCTACCAGGGCATGGTGATCTGTGAGGCCGGCACTGTACTGACGGAGGGGTGGCGGGCTGCACGCCTTGCTTTGTTTTTGAGTAGGGCGACAGGTTTTCAAAGGCAAAATTCAGTCGAAAGGATTCATCCTACAAACAGCTGCGTCCCAGCTAGGGGAGAGAAGTTTGTTCTCAGCCGCCCCCAAGAACTTCTCCCCGTATAGGTAGAGCTGGGGATCTTGGCGCTAGCCCCTGGCCGAATGCACAACGCAAGGGTTGAAAGTCGGCGGTGCTGATGCAGGTGGGGACGGACAGGCGGAGGCTAGAGACGCAGCAGCGCTTGGTGGGAGATGTAATGAGAACTGCAGCGCTCACCTCTTCCATCAGAGAAAGGGGGGTTCTTTCCTCGGCAGTGTCGGCGCATGGCCACGGCCGTGGTCGGGGGCTGCACCCAAGG